TATTATTATTTTTAATTATAATAATTTTGTTAATGATTTATTTTTAAATTATCGTATTTTCCAAAATCTATATAAATATATATTTATAAGGTATTTTAAAATCACTTTGGAAATTACTATTATTTTAAATTCTAATTTTTGGGAGATTCACTCCAATGAAATTTTAAACATAGATTACATACATGAAGAGCAATCATGGGGGAGTGGATTAGTGGATGGTTGAGTTCCAATCATTCACTAATCCCTTCGTTGTTCGTACTTACTTTTCATTTTTTTTGCTTTATATTTGATGTAAAATTTGTAATATTTGTAAAGAGTTGTGAAAATGGTCTTTGAGTGTAGATATTCTTATCCAACTCGAATTCCAAAAGAAGAAGGCATCCCTAAAGGGGAGAGTCTTCTTCCATTTGGAAGATCGAGTTGCATGGCTTTAGATATCCAAAGATAAAAGGCAATACCTCCTATCAAGGGGGAATTATCTCTTCGTTTGGATATTCGAGCCACGACGGATCCAAGGAGTCCAAGGAGGAGAGATCCAAGGAGTCCAAGGCGGAGAGTTCCAAGGAGTCCAAGGAGAAGGAGACACCCAGAAGACTGAAGACCAATATCCCACTCAAAGTCATTTGCATCTGTCATAGGCTTAGAAATTTGGGTTGTTGGCAGTGGTGCCCGGCCACTTTATTTTCTACATATCTGGGTTGTAATAAGGGCAATTTGCCTATGGTCATTTAGTTGATTATTTTTGGATTTATATTGATGTGTTTACCTGATTGTGCAGTAGAAATTGCTTGCTTTTATTAGGTTTCTTTTCTTGCATGCCGATTTTATTTTCGCTTGGATTCTTTAAGGACTATCAAAATTCTTCTACTCATAACTAATCTTTAAAATTCTAAGTTTAAATAACATAAAAATCTAACGAACCTAGGGAATTGCCGGAATCATCTGGGGTCGCATACATATTACTGCATTCCTCTCTCCTTCTTATAAGACATCTCCATGCCTGCGGGTAGAGTCCGGATAATCTGCCTATGAGGATGAAGTGCCGGACCTAGGGAGACCCAGTCTTTTCAAAAAATTATTTTTTATAAGCCTGTTTTTAAAAACTCTATAGCATTCATTAGTTGACATTTCAACTAGCATGTATTGCTTTAGTAACCAACTAAATAAAATTTAATTGCATTAGCTAGGAGCATCTGATCCATATAAGCCCAGGACCACTTAGGAAATCCTCTACATGTCGGTCATACTTTTAGAAACTGTACCACCCACCCATCTTTCATAATTGACCTGATAGCATAGTTTTAAAGCGATTAGGTGGTTAGCTGGCTCCCTAATCCAGGCCGGGGTAAGTCCAGGTTTTGCACTGCATTAACTAGGACACGAGACTTAGTGTTGTGTAGAACACTAAACCCAACCTAGATCTAAGATTCGAGGCTACTACACTCGGTATCGTAGTATGCCTTAAATATTAGGTTGGTCCCTTCCTTTCAGGGACTATAAATCCTACTTATTTGTGTCACAGGATGACGCCACCTCCATCATTCTCTCATGCATGTGATTGATTGCCTGTCTTTCTTTCATCAGTTTATATTTAGTACCCTAGATCCTCCGAATGCTGGTGTGAACCTTGCATGTGGATTTAGCCCTTTGAGACCCTTTTCTCCCTTTTGAGTAGGATTTCCTAGTCTATACCCTCGTACCAATCCCACTTTTGGGAAGGATAATGTATGATCCTTAATCGAGAGTTTTCTCGGGCTCCAGCCTGGGATGTAATTAACCATGAGGGCTTGCGCCCGTGGGAAACTCGGTCCCACATCTACTAAACCCCACTCGAGCTATTGCATCGGGTGGGGGAAACTCGTGATTAGGTCGTGTATATTACTACCCATCGGGGTGTGTTGGCGACAGCCTCTATCCTTAATGGTTAGTCGTATGCATGATCCAATCTGTCCCTTCCAATTGACCCATTCGCGCGGTGCTCTTTCAGATGTCCACAGCAAGGAGCAAGTTTGTAAGGTGCTTGATGATGAAGCCACAAAAAACACAAGAACCCAAAGCTTCATAGGTGATTGTAGGTGGGTTTTGAATTATAGAGGAGTTGAAAGGGTATTTAGAGATGAATGGCTTTAGTGGGTAAATGATTAATCAAGTAGTTGGCTGTTAGAAGAGCATCTGCCCTGAACACCTTGGGAAGGTTCGCAGCTAGGAGCATAGTTCGAGTGATGTCAAGTAAGTGTCTATGTTTGCATTCGGCGAGACCATTCTGCTCGGGCATATATGGGCAGCTTAATTGATGTGTTATGCCATTTTGTGAGAGAAATGAACGAAGGTTGCTGCTGGTGTATTCCCCTCCGCCGTCGGAGCAGAGAGTTTTAAATTTATTTGTGAATTGATTTTGTATCATTTTAGTGAATTGTTGGAGTTTGGAGAAGACTTCATCCTTAGTATTCATTAGGTACAACCAGCAGAAAAGGGTATGATCATCAATAAAAATAATGTAATATTTGTGACAATCACGTGAAGGAGTAGGCACCGGCCCCCACACATCTGTGTATGAGTTGCAAGGGGGCAGTTACATGAGTAGAAGAAGAGAAGGGTAATCTATGTCTCTTGACCATATTAGAACATTTGCAGATAGCAAAATTAGAGGGATTACATATACTAGAGTCTAAAGTAGCTAAAGTATACTGTATGAATGGATGCGGATGACCGAGCCGGGTGTGCCACGATGGAGCAGAATTGTGTTAGGAGCGAAATGCGTAGTGAGAGGGAGAAGAGTTGACGGAGAGGGGGTAGAGGCCGTTGCGACATCTACCACGTAGGAGGATTTGATTGTCCTATAGATCCTTGATTTGGAAGCCGGAAGAGTCGAACAATATTGAACAGTGATTATCAGATGTTAGTTGATGGATAGAAAGTAAATTATGAGAAATAGAGGGTACGCAAAGTACATTTCTAAGAAGTAACTTACGGTTTGAGGGAGGAAGGGGAAGAATGCCGTCACCGATGCTTTGAATGGGAAGGGTGTTTCCATTTGAGATGGAGATGGAGTCCGTGCCTTGATAAGGAAGGGATTGCTGTAGGTGATTGGCGTCTGATGTTAGGTGAGATGATGCACCTGAATCAAGCATCCATTCAGTCGGGAGGGTGGTCCCTGGCTGACTGAGCATAGCACGCGGTGGAGGTGGAGTGTAGTTAAGATTACATCTGTGCCAACAGGCGGAGGCTATGTGTCCGGGTTTGTTGTAGATTTGACAAATGGGTCGGACATTACTGGATTGAACAGGAGCGGAGCTTGGTCTAGTGACATTGGTGTTCCGATTGTAGCCTCGACCTCTGGTTGGGTGAGTGTTTTGGGATGAACTTCCTCTTCCTCGGCCTGGGCGATAGTTGGTGTAGAAAGCGGCATTGTCCTTGGAGATAAAGGTATCTCTCAAAATCTGAGTCTGAATGTTGTTTTCTTCTCTGGATAATAGCGAGTATAGGATTTCAAGACTGATGGGATTTTGGCAGGTGCGAATGGAAGTTTTGAAGGAGTTATAGGCTACAGGGAGGCCATTCAAGATGTATTGAATGATATCTTCGGTCTCGACTTTGGATCTAGCTGCGGCTATGTTGTCCACAATGCTTTTGACCTGCACAAGATACTGCTGCATAGAACTGTCTCCCATAGTTACATTTTGCAATTCGTTCTTGAGTTGTATCACTCAGGAACGATTAGTAGGTTGAAGACGTCCTTCTAATGTCCTCCAAATCTCCTGCGCCGTAGTTAGGTTCAATATGTAGGGTAAGATTGTGGGAGAAATGGTGGAAAAGAGCTCCGAGACCAGATTCTGATCCAATAGTTTCCATAAGCAGAAGTCTGCTGAAGATTCGTCTGACGGAGGTAGCTGGGATCCGGTAAGGTATCCATCGAATCCGTTAATGGAGAATAGCTTGAGAGTTTGCAGTCTCCAGATGGCGTAATTTTCGCTGTCCAGTTGAATGGTGACTATCTGCTTGATGTTGGAGACCAAGAACTTGAGAGAGGATGGAACGGTAAACTCTGCCATGGATGCCGACAGGGAGAAGGTTGTCGTCTGAGCGCTAGAGCTTTGATTCTCGGACATTGTCTGAGCAGTTTAGCTGTGAAGCTTCAAATGCTCTGATACCATGAGAAGATTGAGATTCTGAGCGGTACCTGCAAACAGAAGAACGCATACGAGGAAAGGAAGAAATAAACGATATCAGTGTAAGGCTTCAATCTCTATTCATTTAATATGAGATGCATAGCTACAGAGGATTTAAGTATTCCTTGTATATATAGAAAAAGTTAGGAGCTGGCATTCCGTTAGATGTAATTGCTTGTTAGGAGGCTCAATAAAGCTCATTTGTTAAGTTAATGAATATCTAGAAGTAGAGCTCGTTTATAGCTCGTTAAGACTTGTTTCTTTAAAGCTTGATAAGCACTAAACGAACTGAACATGAACATTCATTAATTAAATGAATCAAGCATGAACAAAAATAATAAAGCTCAAATCAAACACGAACCAAACTTGAATAAGCTGATAATAAATGAACTCAAACATAAACACTTATATACTCGACTCAGCTCGATTTGTTTGCAGCCCTTTAGATGGCGGTGAGATTTGTAATTCTTTGTGACACAAAATATTAGTTATTAAAGAGAAGCATAAACTTAAGTTAAATGTTATTGAGATAAAGATGCTTAGGTGGACGAGTTGCTTTACACATAAAGACAGAATATGAAATGTGTATATACATAAAAAGTTTGGGGTACCTTCACTGACATAAAAGATTAGGAGAGTTGTTTGAAATGATTTTGTAAAAAAACATTGTTCTTTTGATAACTGGATTGGGAGAATAGATGTGTTTAATAAGATCTATTTTAAAAAAATAGAGATAAATTTAAAACAATAATTAAAATATTAATTTTTTATTAAATTTGAATAAAATTTGATTCTTCATATAACACAATAATAAAGAAAAAAAATGCAGCAATTGTTGTCGCGCAAAAATTTACAGAATCCTGCTTACGCCGAACCCCAAGGCCTCAATTTCCATCGACGCAAAAGAAACTCCCCGATTTGGCAATCTTTCTCACTCCGGGAGAGGAGAAGTGTACGAGATGATTGGCAAGTTTTAAGGCGACGCTACTTCCACCATGAGCTCCCTCCCTACCCCAATCCCTATCCCTAAACCTGATATGTCCCGGACATGCATCAAAAGCGCTAGCTTCTCGAATTCGCAATGCCGCCTCTGTTTATTACCCAGACAACGGAAACCGGTTAGCCTGTCAATTGGGATCGGCTGCAGGTTGAGCTCATCCGTCTTCGATGCAAGATCCTCTCTCGAGCAGCCTGAACTGGTTGAGGAGACGTTTATGGAGTGGGAGAGCCGGAATCCGGCCATCTCGTCGATGTACCGTTGCCCGAAGATCCCGCGGCCTAATCAGATAGTGCTGGAAGCGCAGGCTAAGGTCTGCACAGGTCCAGAACAGACGAGGCCACTGACCGAAGAGCAGGCCGTGAAGGTCCTTGATACAATTCTTAAATCAGGTCAACCTCTAATCGTTCTTTCTTGTTTTTTCACTGTTTGGTTTATTGTAATTTAAAGCGGGCTTAGTTGGTGTACGCCTGTATTGACCTGGGACTATGATACGAACTCTAACAACCCCTACGAAGAATAGCCGAGCAATGCCATCCAGGACACAGTGAGAAAGGAAAATGCGAGCTAATTTGCGGGACTTCCTCGTGAAGCTGAAGTGAGAATGCGTGCTCTAAGAATCAGTTCATCATAATAACCAACTTTTTCTTATACTGGGCACTTTTTTTTTTTTAGTGACTAAGGTGTTTTAGATAGTTTTGGGTTATGAGACACTTATAATCATCAGAAGGGAGGTTGCAGAGAGTAATTATAGAATTTGGGTAGTAGCCGCTAAAAGGCCTCTTGCCTGACTTATTAATGAAATATCACAAACCATTATCTGCTGAGTTCTCTTCTCTATGTTTTCTTCTTCCTCTTCTCTCCCTAGTACCTCTGTTTCTTCTTCTTCCCTCTACAATCGTCCTCCTTTTCTACTTCTAACGCTATGGTGATTGTTTCGGCTTTAACACCCATCAATTTGGCACTCTTGTTGATCGCAAAATCGAACCTGCATTCACCTTTGAATGCAGATGACATCCTCTACTTGGTGAAGGATAACAAATGCAGTTCCATAAGAGAAGAATATATCTCCTAATTTAAGGGCATTCTACAAGAAATCCAAGTTCGATTAATGCTGTTGGAAGTAGTGCAAGATCAATCCAATAAACAAACCTCATAAATCCTCTCTCTGATCTGGCATTGCTGATTTCATGGGTTAAACACCTTTTGACACTATTCACATTGCAAATCTCCTTGCTGGAAGTAATCTGGAAACTTAGAACCAACAAATAGAGCAATACTTTGAGTTCCATAAGTTATTCGATGAAGAGTGAAGACAAGCCGACTCTTGCATCCTTCCACATGGATAAAATAGTTAAAGAATTATCAATGGGTGGTGTTTTTGGTTGCTTTACAAATCGTGACCTTTATGGCGAGCTTACGAAACTCGCATAAACCTTGATAGTGGCCAAATATAAGATACAATTTGAAAAGATACCCAACCAAGTGATTGACAGTGATAATGATGAGATATTTTTTATAAAATTGCTATGAATTAGGTCAAATCATCCATGATGAATAAAAAAAAAGCATTCCCGAGCTTATATCCCAACCAATCCAATCACCAAAGGAACAACACTTCTTGGTCAAATTTTTAAGCTATGATTTCACTATTGAATGCAAACAAGGCAAACTCTCTCATATGCACGAGCCTGAAAAAGCCTCCTCATTGCCGACCTAGCTCTCTAACTGCATCACCAAACCGATACCTTCATTGCACCATGATCTCTTCCAAGAGATTCAAACAAAGCAGGAGTTACAACAACTGGACACAGTTGATGAAAAATTCACATGCCCAATCAAATATATCAGTGTATGTGATAGGAAATACTTGAGTTCGCAAGTAACCCTAAGGGAATACTTGAGTTCGCAAGCAAACCTATCACTATTTGGAAGAAAATAGCGAGAATAGAGCCAAAATCTGGGCAAAATCAGCCCCAAACGATAGATTGCAATAAATGAAACAAAACAAAATACACACGAAAGCAAGATACAAGTGATCCCCAATTCGAGAGGAGGATCGTCTCTCCCAAATTTCTAGACAAGAGAGTCTAGAGCCCAAGCACCAAGAAACCTTAATTCCTAATCAATCAAAACCTGACGACTCCTTATTTCCCTCATGCACTTTAATACCCAAACTTTCCTAATCAAATTTCCCTCCTAATTACCTAGCCGCCCCCTCTATATTTTTGAAATTCCATTAGATGGGATGGGCCCCATCTGTTTGGCGGAACGGCTGAGTGGAGGCGGACTTGCTCCGCCTCCTATATGTGTATTGAGCCGACCCGTTGGCTGGCTGGGCCGGTTCTACTTGAACCAACGTAACAATACCGCCCTCCCAAAGAATAACCTTGTCCTTATGGTGAAAACCCAGAAACTGCTGTTTCGTCCTCTCGTATGGCTCCCACGTGGCCTCGTAGTCAGGGAGGTTCTTCCACTGGATCAACACTTCCTTAGTTCCATTTTCTTTCTAGCAAACCCCCATCAGCTCTAAGGGTTCCAGAACCACCTCTAAATCCTCAGTAAGTGTCACAGGTTGCTCGAGATTGGCTGTGTAGTCATCAATGGCTTTCCTTAACTGCGAGACATGAAAAACTAGATGTATCATTGCCGATGGTTGTAATTTCAGTCAATATGCTACTGCCCCAATCTTCTCCAGCACTTCATAAGGCCCATAGTACCTTGGAGCTAGCTTTTCATTCCTCCTGTTGGCGACTATCTTCTGTCTATATGATTGGAGTTTCAAGAACACCTTCTCCCATACTTCAAACTGGATGTCCTTCCTATGCCCATCCGCTTGTTTCTTCATAATTTGCTGAGCTCTCAGTAAATGCCTATTCAACTTCTCTAGCACTCGATCCCTCTCCTCCAAGTACTCCTCTACTGAAGAAACGGGAGTACTGCTATTCCCAAAGTGCACCAAGTGCGGGGGATCTCGTCCATACAACACTTTGAATGTGGTCATCTGTGAAGCAGAATTGAAAGATGTGTTGTACCAATACTCTGCCCATAATAGCCACTTAGCCCATAGCTTGGGTGTCTCTGACACAAAGCATCTCAGGTACGTCTCCAAGCTCCTGTTGACTACTTCCAATTGGTCATCCGTCTGTGGGTGGTAAGCTGTATTCCTCTTCAAAACTGTCCCCTATAATCTGAACAACTCTCTCCAAAAATAGCTTAGGAATACCTTGTCTCTGTCTGATACGATTGCCTCGGGTACTCCATGTAACCTGACCACCTCCCTGATGAAAGCTGAAGCCACTGTCACTGCTGTGTGAATGAAATGTCCATATTTGTTCAACCTGTCAACCACCTCCAAAATCCCCATGAATCCCTCTGAACGGAGCAATCCATTTATAGTCCATAGAGATCTCCTCCCACACTCTTCTCGGTAGAGCTAACGGTTGTAACAATCCTCCTGGTGACATAGCCAGGTACTTATTCCTTTGGCAGATCTCACACCTGACTACCATTTCCTTTACATCTTTACGCATCCCCTTCCAGTACAATTATGTAGCTAGCCTCCTTTATGTCTTCTGTACGTCTGAATGGCCCCCCACAGTGCTTCCATGAAACTCCTGGAGTAAGTTTGGTATGTGGATCGAGGTCCTAGGCATCACAAATCTCTCCTGATGCAACAGTCTGTCTCCCTCTAATGAGTACCCTGGGTGGTTACCCTCCTCTTTTAGTAAATCTGACCTGATCCTTCCCAAATCTTCATCTCTAGCACTTTCTTCTCTGATGATCTCCTAGTCAAGCATCAAAGGAACTGATAGTGACACTGTCTGCAGCTCCCCCATACATCTAGATAAAGCATCTACCGCCTTGTTTTCCACCCTTGGTCTGTACTGAATCTCAAAGTCGTACCCTAGTAACTTGGACAGCCACCTTTGATGCTCCTCCGTCACCATCCGCTATTCTAGCAGGTATTTCAAGCTCAGCTGATCTGTCATGACAACGAAATGCCTCCCAAGTAGGTAGAGCCATCACTTTTGGCTGAAATAGGCAATGGGCCTACGAATCTGTATAAGCACTGCACCCAGCCCATACCCGGATGCATCTATCTCCACAATGAAGGTCTGAGTAAAATCTGGCAAAGTTAGGACCGACACCGTAGTGATCGCCTTCTTCAAGCTCTCAAATGCTGACGTGGCTGCCTCCCCGCATAAGAACCCATCCTTCAACTGCTCAGTGAGTGGCCATGCTATGGAGCTGTACCCCTTAACGAACCTTCTGTAGTAACCTGTCAGTTCTAGAAATCCCCTCAGCTCCTTCAGATTTGTCGGCACTAACCACCTTAGCATTGCCTCAATTTTGGACTGATCTGCTGCCATCCTTTCTTTTGATACCACATAGCCCAAGTACTTTACACTGGTTTGTGCGAAGCAGCATTTCTTTAAATTAGACCTCAGCTAGTGCTCCCGCAGTACCTCTAACACCCTTTTCAAATACTCCCACTGCTCCTCCTCTGTCCTGCTGTAGACCAGGATGTCGTCGAAGAATACCAAAACAAATCATTTGAGATAAGGTTTGAAAACCTTATTCATAAGGTCCTTGAAAGTAGTGGGAGCATTGGTGAGGCCAAATGGCATCACCAGGAACTCATAATGTTCTTCATGAGTTCGAAAAGCCGTCTTGGGTACATCTTCTTTCTTCATCTGGATCCGATGGTAACCTGATTTCAAATCTATCTTGCTGAAGATCACGATCCACTCAATTCATCTAACAGCTCGTCAATGACTTGTATAGGAAACTTGTCAGGTACAGTCTCCTTGTTGAGTGCTCTGTAGTCCACACAAAAATGCCAGCTTCCATCCTTCTTTTTCACCAACAGAACATGGCTAGAGAAGGGACTGATGTTGGGTCTGATGATCTCTGCCTCCAGCATCTCTCTAATCAACCTTTCTATTTCATCCTTTTGGAACTGAGGGTAGCGATATGACCGTACACTGATGGGTCCCTCCTTCAACACGATGGCATGCTCCTGCTCTCTCTGCAGTGACAATCCCTGAGGTGGCTGAAACATATCTTGGAATTGTTGAATCAACGGTTGAATGGAGAGGGGTATGTCTCATCCCTCCTCCAATCTCGCTCCCTCCAAACTGTGCAGCTCCACCAAATACCCCCCCCCGCCTTCCAACTGAATGTCCTTCACCATCATTTTAAGAGAAACCAGGGATTTGGAAAGCCCCGCGTCTCCCTTAATCACTACCTTCCATCCACCATCAACTCCATCGTGAGTGCTCCCCAATTTACTTTGGTGTCTCCCAAAGTATGCAACCACTTCATCCTCAGGATGACGTCTGTGCTTCTAATCTCTAGTGAAAGAAAGTCTTCCCTCACCTGTATCCCC